CTTTTAAAATGACAATGATTTTAAAAACTTAAGAACTAAGCGTAAATTGCTATAAATGGTTTGATTTCTAAAAATGCAATATGCTAGTTATAAATTATAAAAAAAATAAATAAATAAATAAAAACTGAAAGTCCAATGCGATAATTGGTAGATTTTTCAAAGCAAAATTTCTTGATATGAGAGAAAAGTTGATTTTTTTAATAACAGAATGAAAACTAAAAGTACAATGCTAAATTGGTTTGGATTTTGAAAATGCAATGTGCTAATAATAAAAAACAGTTTAAGTTAAATGCTAATTTGGAAGGTTTTTCAAAAGAAATGCATTGATAAAAAAGTTTTTTTAGAAGTTACAATACTTTACTTTAATAAAGAAGTATAGTAGAATGTTATAAATGTTTTGATTTGTAAAAATGCAATAACCAAATAAAAACTAAAAGTGGAATGCAAAAATGAGCTGACTTTTTAAAATGCATTGTGCTAATGATAAGAAAAAAAAAATTAGAATGCTAAATTGGAAGATTTTTCAAAGTAAATAGCATTTGGTAAATGAACTTTCAAAAGTACAATGCTATAAATTTTTGATTTTTGAAAATACAATGCTAAAAATGTTTTATATTTGAAAATGCAAATGTGCTAATAATGAAAAACAGAAAGTAGAATGTTAAAATAGAAAATTTTTCAAAATAAAAAGCATTGAAAAAAAAATTACATGGCTCTAAAAGAATTAAGAATTAAACATACAGTGCCATAAATGGTTAAAATTTTGAAAATTTAAAAATTATTGAAAAGTGCAATGCTAAAATGGGTTGATTTTTGAAAGTGCAATGTCTAACAATAAGAAAACTAAAGTAGAATACAAAACTGGAAGATTTTTCAAAGAAAATGCATTTATAAAAATAAAAAAAAAATAAATAAATATAAATAAATAAAAAAAACTTTTAAAAATGAAAATGCCTTAAAAGAGTTAAGTACTAAAAATAAAATGATATATAGGGTTTGATTTCTGAAAATGCAATATGCAATTTTTTTTTTTTAAAAAAACTCAAAATCCAATCCTATAATTGGTAAATTTTTTAAAGTAAAATGCCTTGATATGAAAGAAAAGTTGGATGTTTTAATAATATAATGAAAAGTAGAAGTACAATGTTAAAATGGATTCATTTTTGATAACTCAATATCTTAATAATACGAAAAGTGGAATGATAAATTGGAAGATTTTTCGAATAAAAACGTTGAAAAAAAACACAGTTTTAAAAATTACATGTACAATGCTATAATATAATGGGTTGATTTTTTAAATGCAATGTGCTAATAATAAGTAAATTAAAGTAGAATACTAAAATGCAATATGCTAGTTATGAAAAAACTTAAAGTCCAATGCGATAATTGGTAGATTTTTAAAAGTAAAAATCCTTGATATGAAAGAAAAGTTGAATTTTTGAATAATATATTGAAACTAAAAGTACAATGCTAAAAATGTGTTGATTTTGTAAATTAGAACACGAAACTTGAAGATTTTTAATATTAAAATGCATTGAAAAAAAATACATTTAAACTTTCAAAACTTTAAAATAATTAAAGAACTAAAAGTACAATGCCAAAAATGATTAAATTTTCGAAAATGCAGTAATGATTGAAAAGTATAAGTACAATGCTAAAATAGGTTGATTTTTTGAAAATTAACAGTAGAATGCTATAAATGTTTTGATTTGTGAAAATGCAATAACCAAATTAAAACTATAAAAAGAACTTTCAAAATTACAAAGCTTTAAAAAAATTAACTAAAAGTACAATGACTGAAAAAGTAAAAGTAGAATGCTAAAAATTGGTTGATTTTAGAAAATGCAAAGTGTTATAAAAATAAAACAGAAACTGGAATGCTAAATTAAAAGATTTTTTTAAATAAAATGAAATGGAAGTTTTTTCAGAGAAAATGCATTTGTAAAAAAAATTAAAAATGACAATGCCTTAAAAGACTTAAGTACTAAAAAAATGCTATAAATGGTTTGATTTTTGAAAACACAAAGTGTTAATAATAAGAAAACTGAATTTAGAATGCTATATTGGAAAAATTTTCAAAACAAATATTTTTAGAAGTTTCAAGGATTTAAAATAATTAGGAACTATAAATAAAATGCCATTGATAAAAAACTTCTAAAAATGAAAATGATATAAAAGACTTAAGAACTAAAGTGAAATACTAAATTGAAAGAATTTTCGAAGAAAATCCATTGATAAAAAAGACTTTTAAAAAGGATAAGGATTTAAAAAACTTAAGAACTAAGAGTAAAATGCTATAAATGGTTTGATTTCTAAAAATGCAATATGCTAATTATGAAAAAATATGAAAGTCCAATGCTATAAGAGGGTAGATTTTTCAATGTAAAATTCTTTGATATGAAAGAAAAGTTGAATTTTTGAATAACATAATGAAAACTAAAAAGTACAATGCTAAAATGTGTTGATTTTTGAAATTGCAATGTCTAACAATAAGAAAACTAAAGTAGAACACTAAATTGGAAGATTTTTCAAAGAAAATGCATTTAAAAAAAAACTTTTAAAAATAAAAATGCCTTAAAAGAGTTAAGTACTAAAAGTCAAATGATATATAGGGTTTGATTTCTGAAAATGCAATATGCAAGTTTAAAAAAACTGAAAATCCAATCCAATAATTAGTAAATTTTTTAAAGTAAAATGCCTTGATATGAAAGAAAAGTTGGATGTTTTAATAACATAATGAAAAGTAGAAAGTACAATGTTAAAATGGATTCATTTTTGAAAATGCAATTCATTAATAATATGAAAACTGAAAGCCGAAATGCTAGATTGGAAGATTTTAAAAATTAAATTGCATTGAATTAAAAACTAAAAATACAATGCCATAATAGATTTAATTTTTAGAAATGTGATAATGATTTAAAACTAAAAGTAGAATGCTATAAATGGGTTGATTTTTAAAAAAGCAGTGTGCTAATAAAAAGAAACCTGAAGTTAAATGGGTAGATTTTTCAAAGTAAATTGCATTAATAGAAAAAAAAAACATTTAAAATTACAAAGTTTTAAAAAATTAAGAACTAAAGTTACAATGCTATAAATAGTTTGAATTTTTAAAATGCAACCTAAAAAAACTAAAGGTACAAAGCTAAAAATCTGTGATATTTAAAAATACAATGTGTAAATAATAAGAAAACTAATGTTAAATTGGAAGATTTTCCAAAGAAAATGCATTGAACTTGTTTTTTTTTTTAATTACAAGGCTTCAAACGAATAAAGAACTACAGGTAAATTGCTATAAACTTTTTGATTTTAAAAATGCAATATGCTAGTTTAGAAAAAATGAAAGTAAAATGTTTTAATTAGTAGATATTTCAAAATAAAATGCTTTGATGTGAAAGAAAAATTAGATGTTTGATGTTTCAACAACAAAATGAAAACTAAAGTATGATATTAAAATGTGTTATTTTTAAAAAAAGCAATGTGCTAACAATTAAAAAACTGAAAGTAGAATGCTAAATTCGAAGATTTTTCAAACTAAAATGCATTGAAGAAAAATACTTATAAAAATTACAAGGCTTTAAAAGAATTAGAAACTAAAAATACAATGCCTTAAATGGTTTAATTTTTGAAAATTGAATAATTATTGAAAACTAAAAAAGTTTGATTTTTGAAAATGCAATATATGTGCTAAAAGTAAAATGTTATGAATGGTTTAATTTCAGAAAATGCAATGTATGAGTTAAAAAAAAAAACTAAAAGTACAATGTTAAAAATGGGTTGATTTTTAAAAATGCAACATGGTAATATAAAGAACACTGAAGTTAAATGGGTAGATTTTTCAAAGTAAACTACATTAATAAAAAAAAGACATTAAAATTTACAAAGCTATGAAATTTAAGAACTAAATAGTTTGAATTTTTAAAATGTAACCTAACAAAAAACTAAAAGGAACAATGCTAAAATTGGGTGATTTTTTAAAATACAATGTGCAAATAATAAGAAAACTAAAAGTAGATTGTTAAATTGAAAGATTTTTCAAAGAAAATGCATTGAATGTGGTTTTTTTTTTAAACTACAAAGCTTCAAAAAAATTAAGAGCTATAAATTTTTTTATTTTTTAAAATGCATAATGCTAGATTTAGTAGATTTGGATTTTTCAACAACAGAATGTAACTTTTAAAAATGAGAATGTTTTAAAAGAATTGAAAACTAAAAGTAAAATGCTACAATGACATAATTAAAACTAAAACTAAAATGCTATAAGACAATAAGAATTAAGAAAACTTAGAGTTGGATGTTAAATTGAAAAAAAAAAAATTTAATATACTGTATTGATAAAATACTTTTAAAAGATACAAGGTTGTAAAAGAATTTAGAACTAAAAGTAGAATGTTATAAATGTTTTGATTTGTAAATGCAATAGCCAAATTAAAACTGAAATCACAATGCTAAAATGGGTTGATTTTAAAAAAAATGTAATTTGCAGATAATAAGTAAATTGAAAGTAGAATGCTAAATTAGAAGATTTTCAAAGAAAATGCATTATAAAAAAATTAAACAAAGTTTCAAAAGAATTCAGAACTAAGCATACAAATGTTTGATTTTTGAAAATGAAATAACGAATGAAAACAAAAAGTAAAAGTACAATGCAAAAAATGGTTTGGTTTTTGAAAATGCAATATGCTATTAATAAGAAAACTTAACTTTAAATGCTAAACTGGAGGATTTTTTGAAATAAAATACATTGAAAAAAACTTTAAAGATTACAAGGCTTTAAAAGAATTAGAAACTAAAAATACAACGCCTTAAATGGTTTAGCTTTTGAAAATTTAATAATAGTCATTGAAAACTATAATAAGTACAATGCTAAATAAGGTTGATTTTTGAAAATGCAATGTGCTAATATAAAGAAAAAGTAAAGATGCAAAAACTTTTAAAATAGTACTACATACAAAAGGAAAATTAGGAGACAACAAAATATATAGAAGTTTAGTGGAACACACCTGGATTAAGAAATGAAAGTATTTTCAATTTCTTGATATCCCCACTGTAACTGACAAAAAAATGAAAATATACACATGTTTAGTATCACTCAATTGTATCTTTATTTTATATCAACGAAGTTTTAAATAGATATATGCATTGATCTAAAGGGAAAAAAAAGGAAAAGGAAAATCACTTATATCATTATAATAACCTTTTTGTAGCAAGGGGTTCTTCACTGTCTTTCCCATAACATGTGACAGGTCCTAGAAACACATAGCACAAAACATACGAGCCATGCATAATCAATGCAATCGTTCGTTATAATGGGTAAACTCAAGCTTTTATCTCACAGACATTTTATCGAACACGTTAAGTGCAAACAGATGTACCTTATCCACTCTACAAAGCAAATCCCTTCAAGTAACTCAGGATCTCCGCCTTGCTGGTTATTGAAACTGCTTAAACCACCGACTGAATAGCACCAGTAACTTACTCCCATCAACCAACATACGAACTTCACACCTCATGTAAAGGTTAAATTAAAACAAATAGGATTCGAAAATACCTCGAGATTGTGAAAGTGGGCAACGAATGGTGGAATCAGACTGGCAAAAGAAACTATCTGTCCACTGTGGCCATCGCCGGCGCAGGAGCCAGTGAAAGGTGTCGATTTGGGTGAAAGCCACGCCGAAGTTTTGATTTGTTGAGATCAAACGAAAGAATTTATCAAATGTTCGCTTCAGATGGGAAGTTACTGAGGCAAGCGAAGCGTTCGATCAAGAAGGGAAAAAGAAGAGGGAAAGGTGGCGTGAGATGAATAGTGAATGTGCTATTCATCCGATAGAAATTGTAAGTAGAGAGAATGTGGGTTTATAGAATGGATAATAGTACCTGAAGAAAAAAAATGGAAAGCATGAAAAGAAAAGGAGAACAGCCAAGAACGTTTGCTCTCCAAAATCATCGTCTTCTTCGGCTGTCGCCAATTTCTAGACATTTGTTCGTTTCTTTCCAATCGCCGTCTTTCTCCACTGTCACCAATTTCTTGAAATCAATTTATTTTAGAAGTGAGATTGTTTCTTGAAACACATAAAGAAAAAACCCATAGAATCGCATATAAGTATTTTGGATCTAGAGGAGGAAAGGGATGAAGGAGAAGGAACCCAAGAGGAAAACGATTAACAGTTCTGTGAAAAGTGGATGCGAAGAGGAAAAAGAAATATGAAGAGTTGAAGCGGCATGGCCCTCTCTCTGTCTTTGTAGTCAAACGAATCGTTTGTGCTCAAACGAACAGGTTGAAAGATCATGATTTTAATTAAGAATCTTACTCATTAATTGTGCATTATTAACCGACCTAATTAATATAGTTTTTTTTTTTTTGATGGACCATTTTTATTATTTTTGTGACGTTATTTTAAATTAATAATTATCTTTCATATTAATATATATTAATAAAAATAATTATTGGAAAGTAATATCTTTTTATTGGTTTAAATTATGAGAAAATTATAAGTTTATCTATTTTTCTTAATGATTTTTTGAGTCTTTAGTCAAAAATTAACTAACTATAAAAAATAGCCATCATCAAAATAGTAGACGGTTACCTACAATTTCACTCATGTTAGATGCGACATAGGGCGTAGGCTATAATCTCAATGCATATTCTTCATTTTGAAGTCCACTTGGATATAAAAAACCAAAATATCAAATAGTATTTTTCAAGTCCACTTAGATATAAAAACCCAAAATATTCAAATGGTGAAAAGTTAAAATCGCATGACACAAAGCCACCAAAGATTTTTCCTAGTTGGGCTGTAATTTTATATGTTTTTCCACTTTTTTTTTCTTTTATTAGAAAAACATGACATTTTGACTACAATTTCTAACGCTTTTATTCTTATTTCTTGTCATTTTAACTACAATTAATATAAAGTTTAGAGTATGAGTTCTATTATTTAACAAAATTTTGGTGTTTTTCTAATTAACTTTGAACTAAAAGGTATGGAATCTTGTGAGCATTTCGTTTTAACTCGTGGTGGGAGCAAGAATTTGTTGATTATCAATGAAGATATATTAGGACTTTCATTAAGAATTATGGAGTGAGATTTTCGTCTTTAAACATGATGATACTGAATACCTACAAAAATATCCTCTTCTAAAACGATGTCAGTATAGTATACCATGTTACCGGGATCCGGTAGATGTTTTTTTTTTATTTATCCGATCTAGAAAGTAATTATGATCTAGAATAGTCGGACGATAATACACAAAAATGTTTCCAAATACCCTATTGTATGGAATGCCCCTATAATGTGGTGTCCAAACATTGTTCAAGAAAAGTGTAACATCCCGAGTTAAGGTATTTTCAATTTCAACCCTTTGTATGATTAAATATTGCATTTTGGTCCCTGAGTAAAAGAAAGAGTACAAAATGGCTCATAGTGGCATTGTTGTAATTTTGGGGCGGACATGTGCACGTTGGGCGTACTGCATGGTACGCTGTGCGTAAGGTGCATTAAAGGGAGCGACGTCGTTTTGGGAGTACGTTGGGCGTACCATGCGTATGTTGGGCGTACTCCGTTTGGACGTAAACCTTAATCTTGAAGGTTTGGACCCTATATGATCATTAAGTCCCATTTCCAACCTCCATCATTTGAGACGTTTTCTTGCAAACCCTAGCCCCCTTTATTGCATTTTGAGACCTTTTAGTGTGTTTTTGTGTGTTCCAAAGTCTAAATTGGATGTGATTTTTGTGATGTTTCAAAAAGACTTCATCACACGAACAATACCCTAATTCAAAAGACCAAAGTCTTACAAACCTTCTCAAATAAAGAAGCTTTTCAACTGGCAGTTAGAGAAAATATATTGAGAAAGGTTTTCAATACATAATAAGCAGATCGAACATAGAAAGGTTTGAGGTTGTTTGTTATCATAAATAAATGTTATTGTTGTATTTGGGCTAAGACAATCAAATTTAGTGGTGGCATTTTCCAAGTAAAAAAAACATTAAATTTTGTTCCAAATGTAGAAGTCATGAAACATTAAACTCGATTACAAATGCATATTTAAATTATGTCACGATTAGCAAATTTAGGGTCGAGATTATACTCATGTACAAACGATCTCTCTATGTAACCTTATTGTGAGTGATTCTTATAAATCAAAATGACATTGTTATATGAATACATGTATATATACATAGTTGTAATAAACCTTTAAAAGGCCAAAATAGATCAAATGCATCATACATGAATCGAAAATGGACCTTGACCTTAAAATTCTCGGCCCAAATAACCCCATGACCGAAAACCCTCTAGATGGGCCACATTTAAAATCGAAAACCTTTGGCTTGGTGCTTTCGGCCACCTCAAGGCCTAAAACCCCATAGGCATTCGGTCTAGGCATAAGAGAAAAAGGTTTGAGCTTACAAGTGACACCTCATGCCTTTACATCTCTATACCCTTCATATTTCTATACCATGCATGCCTTTACACTTCAAACATCCATACTACACATTTAATTAACCATCAAGTTTCCAAGAGCAACACTTGAATAACCATCATACAACAATGCACCTTTTTCCCATCCTCACTTCTTAAACTCGGCCGAGAGTGGAGTTCCTCCACTCTTGCCACTTCTTTCTCCACACTAATTCTTGTGCTCTCTCAAAATCCATTCAAGTTCTCCAAGTTAGACACCATCAAGCCGAATTCTAGGACTCTTGGTAAGCACACTCGACCTTTTTCCTAGTAGTTTGCCACATTTTGGTGTAAATTTCTTCATGTTTACACACATTTTTCGTGTGTTAGATCCCTAGAACACCAACCTTTCCAAGAAGCTCTTCCAGTTCATCACCACCATCCTAGGCTCGAAATCTTCTTCATCATCCTTCCAACCACACACGAAAATAACCAAGGTGAGCTTCATACCCCCAATTTTTTGAGTTTTACATGCTTTTAGGAGGGGAATACAAGTCAAATTACATTTACCCAATGGATATTTGCATGCATCAACTTGTTTATCAAATAATATGTGCATAAAATGTTGAAATCATCTTACATATATACATAAAAATCGTGACTCATAAGGTTTTATAAGTCAAAATGTGTTTGTCCTTTGGACATTTGCATGCACTATGTCTATTTGTTTGAATATGAAACAATGCTTGTATAAAAAGTAAATATCATTTGCCTCCTACATAAAAATCGTGAATCATGTGATTGTCACCATTTTGATTACTCAAAAATCATGTGTATGAGTTGATATACACAAAGATAACCAAACATACATACATATAAGTCAAAAGCATGGTCGTCTTTTGGATACATTCATGTCTCATCTTTACTATTTGAAATTGGTATAAAATATTTTGTATAAAAAGGGTTATAGTCAACATTTGATGTTAGAAAATCGAGACTTATGGGGATAAATGGTAAGATTGACAAACACAAACTATTTTGTAATACAAAATTTCAACCGGTAAAATATGAGATGTACAAAGCTACAAATTCTTGAAGATTTTTACTAAAAATAACTCCTCTAGTAAAAATGGTCGCATATTTTTTTTGTCGTCACTGTTTTGATGGTTTACCCAAGAATATTATGTTTTAACAACCTTACAAATAGATATTTATATAAAATTTATATAAATAGTTTATACAAAACATACAAGGCAAACTATTAATGGTATAGTTTGTGTGTCATAAAACTCATGTCATAAATTTCAAATAGTGTAATTATTTCATGATACAAGAAAAGGGAGTCGTAGTTCGCATAAATCTGTTAATGCTCTAGTGAGACACTCTCTCTCTTCACCATACCTACCTAGCGTACACTTTAAGTCATGCATTATAACCAGAGTCTCCTGTAGGGAGAGCGAGATAGTTGTGTATAGATCTATACGGGGAGTGACAACCCCACACCTGAGCTGTTTGCTACAGCTAGACAGGCCAGTCTAGGGTGACAAATATCTACCAATTCTGACGCCTGAAGAACGTCGTACGGGCATAACAGTCACATCAAGCATGGTTATAATAACTCACATAGGGATTAACGATACTATCTTGGTTTACGGGAAGCTTACACTTCACCGGTTTTATAAAAATATAAAACTACATATTACTTTTCAGTATGTTATTTCTTACATTTCTGGTCTTAGGGTTTAAGACCATAGTAGGTCTCTCGTTCCTTTTTCTCACTCGTCGATGGAACCTCACCCTCAGGCTATTCACATATAGAAAATATCGGATTTTCTGGAAACATACAAAAACATTTTTAAACAAAGCAGTTATAAACTTTTTTCATACAAAAATGCTTATGAACTCACCAACATTCATTGTTGACGTTTTCAAAATCACTTGTATTCTCAGGGAACCAGTAAACAGGTACCCGATTCATTTTGAGAGCATGACATGTTGCAACATGTTTACCATCTATCAATTATTCATAGTTTGCTTTTGAACAAACAATGGTTGTAAACAATATTAAACTTGTATTCTTAATGTATGATGTTTGGGTTGCTATGTTTCATTTATATTCAATTGTTATGATACTATACAATGATGTCATCCTCCCCCGGACGTTTCCGCCGTCCTGGTTTGGGGGTGGGACAAATTATCAAGTTACAAATGGGTAACATGGCCAATGGTTCATTGAGGAGGCAGCATAACATTCACCATCTTAGTTCGGGTATACAACTCAATACACTACGAAATTCGAACTAAAATTAACCATTTGGTGAATGTATGACATGTTAAATAATCGTAGTACAGCTAGTGTGAGTCTACAAGGGATACCATATTTTAGCCATTTCTCACATACACGAGTCTTGTGATCAAGATGTGTAAATCTGGTGGGAAAAAAATCCATTACTTCAAAGTTGAAGCTAAAGAATTGTTTTACATTCCATGTTTTTAGAATTGTGCATCCTCATTTGAAGAATTGTCTCATTATAAGGGTGAGATCATCAAAGAGCACCATATATGAAAATATATTATGATTATTATCATACACATGTTGAATCGCTTCATATACAACCCCAACGACTGTAATGCCCGTATTTCTAGGCTAGGCATTAATATTGACATTATAGTCTAGGTTAACCTTTGTAACTCATTTTGAAGAAATGAAAAGGAATTATGTGAATATTATGTGAATTATGTGTTTTATGCTTAATTATTAGGGTTTAATTAATTAAGAATAAAAATGAGCGTCAAAAATAAATATTAGATAAAACCGATATCTATTAAGAAACTTGTAGTGGGCGTGACAGTGAT